ACAAATGAAAACTATCATTTGCCAAAAATTTTAATTTATTTATGAACCTAGACGATGTTAGAATATATGTATAATAAATTTATGATTATGAATAAGAAAAATGAAATGTTCACATTATTATTGCCAAAAAGCACGCGGGGATGTGTAAGAAATTAAAATAATATAAGATACTGTATATGTATGGCAGATTGAATGATACACACATTAACAGGATTTGACATATAGTTCACTTAAAATATGAAATAAAGTATAAATCAGGGCCGGTCCTACCTTATACTATATTAAAAAATCGTAGACATGGGTACAAGTATGTCGGGTCATCTAGTATTAATAATAATATAGCGTTTACAAATGGATATTTATGATATCATTGGGATTTTTTAGCCTGGTTGGGCGCGCTTCTAAAAGTACTTACTGTGCCAAGCAATGTGGGTGTTCGTCAATTCTTTTCTTATAATTTTCTGATTTTTGTTGAATTTTTTCATTTACTGTCATCATGTTACTGTCTTGGTGAATCAGCCAGTTGGGAACGTACCTGGGTGCTTTCAGTGCCTGCCGTATGATCTTCTTCTGCACGCGCTGAATGACGATCTGTATATCTGTATATTGGTATTTTTGGCCTTGTCCCATAGGACTGCACTGGTTTGAAAATACATTTGTAAATAATTAGTTTGTTGTTCGTCGACAGTTCGGATAGTTTATTCTGCAACCAGTAATGTTATTTGCTGTTTTTTTTTCTAGTTAATAAGTTCAATTTGGAGTCAATACATTCTGAATCTAATAAGAAAAAAGTATATGGGTTTGTGTGTGTGCGTGTGTGAGCCGATTTTTTACCTTTTGTCGAAGTTTTCTCAAGACGGCTATACCAATTTCAAGAATTTAAAAGCCCGTTGGTTAGTTTTTGGTACTAATGTCAGCGCCGTTTGTTTAAAATTTATCAGAAAAGTGCTAAATTTTTTTGCAGCGTTTTAGCCACAAATTCTGATTATATTTTGAAAATACAAATACTATTCGAAAGATATTATTTCGGAGACGTGCAAATTAGTTTTGGACAAAGTACGGCCAGCCTGTTTCTTCGTAGTTGATTGTTAAAATAAATTGTCATTGATTTTAATGATACTTGGTATGGCAATAGATTTCCTGATCTTAATGAACATTTTAAAACGTAGTTTAATAAATATTTATTATGATTTGAATTATTCGGTTACACTTTTAGAAAACAAATAAAAACGGGAAGTTCATGCAACATGTCTTAAGGTGAAATATTACTTACACCTAATTTCTATATTGCGTAATTCACTATCAGTATTACAATTTAATTATGAGTTATGCTTCTATAACGTCATTTAATTTTATGACTAACCAAATTTTGTATATATAGTAAACAAAGGGGGGTTCAATATTAAATATCAAGCTAATTACTCAGTCTTTCTATAGGCAGATTGAAATTTAAATGAAAATGGAAACAAAAATTATTTCTGTTCAATCAAGAAGAAGAGACTTACCATTCGGTAAACTTTCTTTCTGTTCTAACTTTTGACATATATTTTATATTTATTATGGATTGTATATGTTACATAAAAATAGATTGCAAATGTATCTATATAAATGAAATAATCACACTACAATTTATTTTCAAAATTACTGACTGCAATAGTTCATTTACGATTTTATAATATTTGCACATGTTTTTGGTAAAATCACACACACACTCGATGAACGACCTTCAACACGGACAAAGAGTACTCTCAAAAATTAAAACAAACACAAATTCATTGATATCCAATATAATATTAAATTATAGCAGGAATGCACCAAAACATATATAAATAAACCCTATCCTTAGAGTGTTGCACAAAAAATCGTTTAAATAAAATTCAGATTATTATTTGAAACTTTATTAGCGTAAAACTGATTTATTTTCCTCCAAAATTATACTGTATCGTACACTTTACCTAATCCTTTTGATGTATTGACATTCTTCAAATATTCTGTTATAATTCCAGTTGCTACTGTTACATTATTCTCTCGTACTGTAAATGGCTGTCCAATATTCATAAACATTTTTCTATATAAAGCAAGATAAATGGCGCCATTATCACCTGGCATCAGCATATCAAAATCACCTAATAAAAGAAATGGGTGTTATGGTGATTGAAATTGAACTAATTTACCATTTATTTAAAAATTACAAAAAATATTATTATAATAAAAGTAATAAAAAAAAATAATTACATAAATCTATTCTACAAGGCACATTCCAAGTTTTCGAAAATAATTGTTGTATATAGTTTCCAGAAATGGGTCTTGAACGACCTCCTTCTGCTTTTGACAGTAAATACATATTTGCCTTGAAATGATTGCAGATTTGTAAATTTGCACTTGCAGCAAGTATCATTCCTCTTTGCACTGTTGAAATTTTTACATTCCGGAGTAGAATACCAACATTATCTCCAGCAAAAGCCTGCAAAAATATCATGAATGTGAAAAATATTTCTACTATTTGTTTTTTTATTTTAATTTTTTAATAATCAGCTAGTATGAATTATAAATCACCTCGGGCACAGACTTCTTGAAAACTTGTAAATCTGATATAGTTGTCTTAATTTGTTGGTCAAAACCTAGTAATTGAGCTGGAGAATTCTTTTTTATAATACCACATTCTGCAGTTCCAACTACAACTGTTCCTCGTCCTGGCACAGTAAATGCATTATCAATTGGAAGAACAAATGGAGATTCTAGATCTCGTTTCGGTGTTGTTATATAATCATCAATGCAATCAAGTAATTTTAATATTGAAGGCTCGCCTGTGAATGAACAAACAACATTATATTTTCAATGATTAACTTCAATGCTTTTAATGGTGTTTAATTACCTAATTCAGAGGTATCACCATTTAAAGCCAAAAGTGCAGATCCTGATACAATAGGGGCATTATCCCCGTCAAATCCAAATTCATTTAATAAATCCCTAATTTCAAATTCAACTAATTCCAACATCTATAACATTTTGAAATTTTGTCTCATTGAAGTTAAATTTGAACACATTAAACTTTGAATTGATGCAAATATTCAACTTACTTCTGAATCAGCTTTATCAGCTTTGTTCAAAAATGCAACTATTTTTTTTATGCCAACTTGTTTTGCCAGCAGCAAATGCTCTCGGGTTTGTGGCATTTGCCCTTCTGTTGCAGCCACTACTAAAATGGCTCCATCCATTTGTGAAGCCCCTGATATCATGTTTTTTACATAATCGGCATGACCTGGGCAGTCTGTATGAGCATAATGTCTCTTAGTAGTGCTATACCCAACATGAGCTGCATTGATGGTAATCCCTGTATAATAAATAAAGATTGAAAAAATCAGTTTTATTAGAATAAAAGCATTAATTACCTCTGGCTTTTTCCTCAGGAGCTCGATCAATTTCATCATAAGATATGTATTTTGCAGAACCATTTTTTGATAAAATTTTTGTTATTGCTGCTGTCAATGTTGTTTTGCCATGATCTACATGACCTATAGTGCCAATGTTGCAATGAGCTAATTCGTTTTTAGTATTTTGTGAATAACTTCTAATTGGTAATAAACTATATTTATTTTGCTTTGTAAAGCTAGAGGAAAGTAGGGTTAGACTTTGGCACGTTAAACACGAATATTTTTTTATTATCGCTAAGGTAAAGTTATTGGGAGAGAATAACTTGAAATTTAACTTTGTAAGAAACATCTCTTATATAAAAAAATGTCATTGCACTTTAGGATTATTATTATATCACTGACACTTCAAACTGAAAATGGCATGCAATACTGACACTAGTAGCATGTTTTCACCGATCTCTAACGTTAAAACTCTAGAAAATATCAGAATATATTCATAATTAAAGTTATAACTTTTGTTGATACTTTCTAATTATATGTTATACTTTCATTTAAATAAAATCGTCTTTTTTGTGAAACATTACAGAACCGAGTTTGTTATGCAAATTTCCATGGAAAACAAGATTTATTTATTTTATTCATTCATTTGAATTTCTATTTGAATTCAAGTAATAATTTAATAGAATTGTGCATTAATGAATAAGGCATTCTAAAAGCATAATGAAATATTCTGATTGCTTCCCATTTGTTGATTTATTGTTATTAAGAAATAAGAAGTAAGAACCAAAGAACCTCAAAGATCAGAAAAACTTGTAATAAATCGGCGTCTGACCATAAAGATTTTCTTTGATTTCTATGGTTTTTGCTGCATTGGAGAAATGAAAACGAACCCACATAATCAGAGAATATTTTTATATTTCTTACGTAAAATGTCGAATAAGCCTATTCCGATACACCAAAAATAAGAATAAGTATAATTTATCGTAGGTGGAAAAAAGTGTGATGTGTTGCGCCAACGAGACAAAGTGACAGCTTCAGGTAAACCAACTACCTGTTCAATTAGTTTCGTTATGATAATTTTCGAAATGACATTTCGTTTTATTACAATTAATTAAAAATGACTTTATTTAAACTGATTATTTTATCAACTATTCTCCATGGGATATTTGCTAGCTTAGAAGTCGCTAACGACGATAGCCTAGTAGAGTTAATAAAAAATGAAAAATATGTAGTGGTTTTGTTCAGTGAGTACCATTTGCAATATATTACTTATTTTTGCTAGAGTTCTTAATCATATTGTTGATTGTTTTTAGCAAGTAATAAATGCAAACAATGTGATGAAGTAGAAAATGAATTGGTGAATGTAAGGGATGATTTAGTAGAATCATTGGGCAGCTGGGTAGTAAAGTCAGTCAATAGTCAACTAGTAAGACTTTATGATCCTTCTAAAGAACCTGCTATAGTTTTCTTTAGGCATGGAGTTCCTTTACTATATGAAGGTAAATTATCTATACTACAAAATCACATACAAATTTACATACATTATATTTCTATTTTACAGGAGCTTTACAAGAAGATGAAATTTTACATCACTTTATTGATAACAAAGATCCCTTAGTTAAAGAACTTTCCGATGATAGTTTTGAACACTTAACTCAGGCAGCTACAGGCGCTACAACAGGAGATTGGCTTGTTATGTTGTGTGTGAAATTTAACTCTGCTATATTATGAAAATATGTCCAGGACTATTGTTATTCATGACTTTAATTTCAGCTATAGTACAGAATGTGTAGATTGTCAACGCTTAGGAGCTCGATGGGAAGCTGTAGCAGCTAAAATTAAGTCCCGCACAAATGTAGCTAGAATTAATAAAGCAAGTACTGGAGCCGCAACAGCAAGGCGCTTTGGTGTGCATAAAGTTCCTTCTTTTATATTGTAGGTTTGCTTAATAACTTTAACTAATTTCTTGAAACTAAAATGTTACAGTTAATCTTTTTTCCCAGATTTCATCAGGGAAAAATGTACCGCTATAATTTACCTAAATATGATGTAAAATCGTTTATATCATTTGCTCAAGATTGGTACAAAAATACTAAAGCTGAACCTGTGCCACTACCAAAAGCACCATTGTATGTATTGCATTATTTTAAACTTTTGTATAGAATAATATGAAATTTCAAATGTCTTTTACAGTGATGATCTAGTTTCCTGGGTAGTGGAAATGATTCGTGATGCTGTTGATAAATTTAACACACTCATAAATGAATATCCATCGTTGATCTATGTAATATTTGGTGTTATCGCATTTACAACTATAGGATTCAGTCTTGTTTTGATAACTGCAATAATATCTAAATTTAAAGCCAATAAACCATCAACATCAAAGAAAAAACAAAAATAATTTGTAATCGGAAATCTCATATTATATTTTTTGAAATAAAAAAATTGACTAATGTTAATTCATTATAAAATAGTTTGTTCTACAAAACTATTATTTTGCTTTCTAATGAAAGCAAGTCAAATATTTTTTACAGGAACATTGATCTTCAATATTATTTCAGGTTGTGCTAATGTTTCTCTAATACATCTTTCAAATCTTTCTTGAATGAATGAAAATGACATAATGCTCTTGGGCTTTGACGAAATCCAATGTTTATCAAATTCATAATATAGATAAGAATAAAATTCATGAAAAATGTTAATATTTGGATTCGGTGTGCCAAGGTTATACATATGTGTTTTAAAGCTACCATCTTTCACAAGTTTATAGGCCATGGATGTAAGATTGATACCAACAATTGCAAAAGTGTATCCATATTGTGGGTGCAGTGAATGACTTAAAACTTGACTACTTATATTTGTGTGTTCTTTGGCAAAATAAAGCAAATTTTCTAGACCTAACAAGCCCATTCCTCTAAAGTCTGTTTTGGGATCATCCCCCTGCAATTGAAAATGTTACAAAGTAGTTATGTGAAACCTATTAAAGTATCTAAACCATATTAAAAATAAATTTTTACTCAAGTTCATGGTTACCTGAAATCCAATATCTTGCCACTGTTTAGTGATCCTTGCTTCCAAATCTACGTCAGGCATAAGTAATTCCCATAGTTCGTATAATTTACTTTCATGTTGTTCATTATCAGAATCATATTGAATTACTCGAAGATTTTCTATTTCATAATAAAATTGCTTATAGCCCCAAATTTGTTCAATGCATTTTCCTAATGATTTGATGAATGGCTTGTGAATTTTAGGATTAATACATTTTGAGTTCATGATGATTACAACTGCTTCATCAATAAGACTTTGTTGTTTATTTGAAAGAAATGACATTTCTAAACAGATCTCATTTAGCCTAAGTATAAGCAATTGTATGTTCCTACATTTCGATAAATACAAAGAGTTCTCCACACCTCGTATTCTCTCAGAGCCAGATTTCAAACCGTAACAAATTCTTTGTAACTCACAGAGCCGAGTCGTTCGATGTAGAAACCATTTAATAAGAGGCCTGAGCCAGAAGTAAATATAATTCCAAGTACCAGCAAAGTTTAACATTTTAAAACTCACAGTTTACAAGGTTCATTACTATATTATTAAGTCACAAGTAATTTTTTAGAATTTTTTCTAAACATTTCTTGGTGCATAATATTCTAATTATATGCTAGAAATTTTAGTTAATTGTTTATAGAAATAGATTGCCATGACAACCAAGATTATCCTGCAGTTTAGACTTTGACAACTGTTATTTATTCGTCAAACAAATCATTTCGTAAAATTTATTTTTAAAATAATAACATTTGATATGCAAATCTGATAATACAAAGTTTACTATTTTTTCCATACATTTTTATTGAAAGAAAACAGCAAAATATATGCATGCAAAACGAAATGCCACTACGAATTGAACTGCATTCCAGATGTTTTTAATAGAATTCGTATTCCCAACCTAACTTTTGTGATTCGTACGATGTGCGGAAGGTAGCGCATAGTGCGGGGGAAAATATGTCCTGACATGTGACATAAAGTTACTAGTAGTCATCTAGTAGTGCATGCAGGGCCGGATTTAGAAATTTGGCGCCCTGGGGCACTCACAAAAATGCCGCCCCATTCCTGAATTTATACTTAAAATAGCTTTTATATATCATTTTTTTAAAATTAAAATAACTATTTGATTGCAGAAAATTTATTACACATACTATAGATAGTGGTGCTTGGCATCGTGCCTTAAAGCAAATTGCCGGAACTTCCCGTACCAAAAATTAAAATTAAAAAAAAAATTTTTAACTAAAAAATTTTGAGTTTTTTTTATATTTCGAGAATTTTCAACATTTTTTTAAACCAATCGCGCTGCTTTAGCTGCGTAGAGACAAAAGATAGAAGAGTGTAAGCGCCGCGTCGCAGAATAACGGATAAATAATATTAAAGAACCCATAGAAATGTAAACAAAATTTATACTTATTATTAAAATATCTGATAATTTGATGCGCACATGTCTAATAATCACTTTTGAACACCAAATGTTTCTTTTTAAATTTTTTTATTGGAACACCGAAACCGCTAAACCTGCCTCCCACAAAGTTAAGCAGTTCTTTATTTTGTCTATACATGTACTTTTTTTAATGATATTGGACGTTCCGTCTCTCAAAACCTGAATTATCATGTTTGGAAACAGTTGGACCTGCCTTGGCCAATAACTAATCAGCACGTTATCACCAAATGTTTCTTTTTAATTTTTTTTCACTGGAACACCGAAACCGCTATACCTGCCTCCCACAAAGTTAAGCAGTTCTTTATTTTGTCCATACATGTAATTTATTTAATGATATTGGACGTTCCGTTTCTCAAAACCTGAATTATCATGTTTGGCATTTTGGCCCGTATTTTCGAAACAGTTGGACCTGCCTTGGCCAATAACTAATCAGCACGTTATCGTTATGAATAGGAATCGAATCTTTCAAATAAAATTTAATTTTAATAAATTCAATAAATAAAAGTTATTTTTTTTAAAAAAAATCGAAATATAATAGAAAGGTTTATTAAATTAAGTTTTTTTCATTTTTCAAAAAATTTTAAAGCTCTTTATAAAATGTAATTTTCAGTAACTTTCCTTAAGGCACAATACCATGCGTCACTAGTTTAATTTTTTTCAGCGCTAGAAGCTGGGAAGAAATTCGTTATGTTAAGAGCTCGAGATCTGAAAAACATATTTTTCTTAAACTTTCAGCTCATTTGCGAATCTTTATATTAGCCAAATTGCCAAATTCTGCATTGCATTCGTATTATGTTTTGTTAATTATTCAATTTATATATAATCATTTATTATTTTATTTATAAGTATGGAATTTTTTATTACATAGTAATAATAATAATTAAAAAATATAATTTTTGTTTTTAATACACATATTTTAAGCATTTGAAACTAATAGAGAATATAACAAAAATCTGATAGACAATTTTTTTAAGGTCATGTCCTAACGAAATCAGGATCAACGCTTCGAGCCAGGATTAGATCAGGTTCTGAAACAAAAATTCTGAAGCCAAAGATATTGATATTATTAGCCTATAACATTAATATTTTCATATGTAGGAATTGTAAGATCATGATTAATTTCCAGCTAAGCCTATTATACAATTATGATTTATTTTGCTAATAGACATTCTTCTGCTGATACTGGTAAAATTTTATTTTTTTTGCTTAAAGTGTAACCAATTAATTGAATCTCACCATTAATTGAAGATTGTGAAAATCAAACTATGCTATCGGGTAATTGTTTACTAGTTCTGCTGTTTCTGAGCGGTGTAATAGTAATTTCTGCAGGTTTTCTGTGTATAGGATAATCCAATTCGACACTGGACGATTCCATTACGCCGCTGTACATTGACGGACCTTTTTTTAGTTCGCGGCCTAAAACAACATCAATTATGAAATAATACTCCTATTTGTTTGATATTGTTTTGTACGGACTGTAAAACTTTACCTAGAACTGGATTGTAGTTGCTCTTCAGGAATTCGAATTTCTTTGTTGGCAACATTTCGTTCCTTGCAAACAAGCAATATAGTTGCAAAAAGTATTGCAGATAGTATAAGGCCAGCAGCAGTGATCAAGGCTCCTAGAATCTGTAAAAATCAGCGATAGTCAGTAAAAAATAAGTAAAATGAGGATATGAACAAAACTTAGTTCTACAAAAATAAGAAAATTGTATATCATATATTCATTCCATAACTTTAATTTTTTACAGCCGATTGAAATTAAGTGGGTTGAACTACAACGATAACGGCGACCCTTACCCAAAACATATTTGTAATGGTTGTTTCAGTGAACTAATTGAATTTTTTAGCTTCTGGATGAAACGTAGGCAATCAATTGAGCAATTGGATAGTTTAACTAAAAGTACAGATTTAATAAACGACGATGAAAATGATTTAAATAATAATATTAATGACACCGAGTTTTCTACCATAAATGAAGAAGAATCTTATTTAAAGATTGATTTGGTTTAAGATAATGATGATGAAACAGAATATAAAAATGAACATGTACCTGTTTCCTCAAATACTGATGACAACGAGGATACTGATTATTATATAAAGTTTTCAAGCTCAGTAGATTTAAATAGTTGCAATATTATTTCTGCAGAACTTGGTTCATGCATTCCAAAATAATCCCATAAACCACAATGTCATCAATGTCAATTATCATTATCTGATAGAGCAGAAAAAAAACATTGGCAAAAAAAATCATCGAAGGAAAGTACAAACAAATTCAAATCGTTTAATAAAATTTGAAGCCATAGATGAACCAACCACTGAGAATGAATCATTTGCAGAGAAAGATCAAGATCATAATTATGAATGCCAGGACTTAGTTTTTTCACAAAATTCTGAAACAGTAATAGAAAAATCTGCCCAATGTTGCAAGATCGTCTTAATAATTCACAGCAAAATTCAGGATCAAATGATCGAATGAACTTTCTTCAATGTTCACCAGATTTGAATAGTTTTGTAGGTATTTCTGATTCTTCTTCACAAAATTCTTTTCGACGGCCCAGGTGTCACAAGTGCCTAATGTTTTTCACCAATAGAACAAAATATACAGTCCATTTGAATAAATATCACAGTGAAAATTCTCAATTACGGTCTGATTCAGAAAAATCACAAACATCACCTCGTAAAGCTGCTTGTCGAAAGTGCCAGTTGCTCTTCCCTAACGAAGCTGAATTTAAAAAACATGCAAAGATCTATAACTTGCTAAAGGTTTTCCTGATGCCAATAAGCTTCGAATTCATATAAGGTTTCATACAGGTGAAAAACCTTTTGCTTGTGAAGATTGTGACGTGGCTTTTAAATCTAGTGGTGAGCTAGTTAAACATAAGCTTAAACATTCTGGTACTCGCAATTATTCTTGTACAGAATGTGGCAAACGATTTTTAGCTTCTAAACATGTCAAGCAACATATGGTTGTTAATACAGGGGAACGTAAACATAAATGCGAAATCTGTGGAAAAGGTTTCACAAAATCACATGTGTTACGTAGTCATCTGAAAATACACGAAAAGTAAGCATTAATAGATAATGATCTTCATAATGATGAAATGTGACTTATTTAATTTAAATTGTATAAAATATTAACATATGTATATATGTATATAATAAATAATGATCTCTGAATTTATGTTTTACTGGTCAATATTATATAATTGAAAACAAATATTTTTTTTAAAGAAAAAAGTAATAAATTTTAATAGATTTTAATATTTAGATATTTGCTTAATGTCAGATATAAAATTTATTTAAGTTACTTGAAGACATGAATAAAAAAGGATATATTAATAAATAAACAGTGATGCTGCTGAATTCATGCAAACGTGATATACGGTAAATTTTTTTTGTCAACTTTCTCGCGTCCAGAGATTAATTATAATGTAGTTAATGTATGTATATTTATAAATATACTGATTGTTTTTAACAAATTGAAAATTGTTTCAAAAAATTTTCATTAAAATTTAGATAACAAAATATTTGTAAATGCATTTAATAAGAATTATTATTGACCCTAGAATGGTTCTAATAGTATATAGGTAAATTATAATTTTACCTATATACTATTAGAACTTAGTTTTTGGGATAGGCAGGTCTAGCCGTTTCGAAGATACGGGGCAAAAAATGCCAAAAACGGTAACTCAGTTTTTAAGAGAACGGAGCGTCCGATCTTAATAATTCAAAAAATAAGTTACTTGTATTAACAAGACCTTCGTCTGATCAAATCTTCATGAAGGCAGGTCTAGCAATTTCGGAGATCTAGTAGAAAAAGTAAAAAAAAAAGCCATTTGGCGGTCAAAAATGATCATTAGACATATGCACATCAAATTATCAAATATCTTATCATCACCGATATTTTGTTTTTATGCAGTTAAAGCAGTACGATTGCTTTGAAAAAAAAGTTCAGATTTTCCAAAATATTTCAAAATAAAGAAAACATTTTTCTTCAAAATGTTTTTTTTTTCAAAAAAAAGTAAATTTTTGTCAAAACTTTATAGTTTCTCAAAAATCTATTTTTTTTTTTCAAAAATGTTGATCTTTAAAAAAAAATTGGTACGGGAAGTTCTAGCAATTTGCCTCAAGGCACGATTTTGAATTAGATGTTGAAAAAATATTATAGATACTACAATGCGAAAAGATGTATGATTATTGATAAAATATATTTTAACAAAAACTATACATCTCATCGCGTTGTAGTATTTATAGTATTTTTTTAACTAACTCAAAATTAATAATTATTGACAATATTCTTTCTGAAAGCATCTAATAATTCTTTATGAAGTTCTGAAAAAAAATTTAAAAATAACATTAACCACATATTAAAAAGCAAAGATTATTTTAAAAAAATTTATTTTAGATGTTTCGATATTATTTTGTAATTATCAGTGATGTGTACACATATATTGACACATTTATGTATATTAATTAACATAATTAATTATATGTACTTATTTAGGTTGCAACTTTCTTCCACGCCACCCATGAGGTGAAGTTGCCAGGCGCGTTTTTTTTAATGTGGTATCGCCACAGAAATAGATACTTATATTCATATTTACGTTTCTAACATTTCAGATGGAAATGGATAAAGTGTAAATACTACTAAGTATCGATTTGTGCAGCCCTAATCCACTTAAACTATCTTACAAACTAATTATACCTAACTGACCCGAATATAACGCGAAAAAAATCCCCGCGCAATGACCTAATGTACCCCAAAATTTCGGTTTTTAAAAATGAAGGAACCTCTCGTGGTAAAGAAACAAAATGAATATAAAATGTGTACTTTAAAATTTTAGCGGTGATTGTAAATTTATAAAAAAAAGAGCATTTACATGATGTACCCCCCAGATCCACCATGTAAACACTTGGAAAAAAACTTCATAGGTTCCCAGCCTATGAAGTTTAAGGACAAATCATTTTGTGATTTGTAATTATCAATTAATTAATGTAAAGAAAAGCGCAAAAAATATAAGAAAGGTTTTTTCATGACGCCACCCTTTTGAGCTCTGAATAAAAGCACGCGAACAACCTCAAAAAAGGTACGATCGAAGATTTTAATGTCAAAACGCCCCCTAATCTGATATTAACTAAATATTACTATAATACAATAATATTACTAACTATACAATAATAATAGAAAGTCTTATCTACAGTTAATTTTCCTTTCGATTATGTCATATCTTCCAATTCAGTAGTAGGCGTGTAGTGGTGCTCGTTGGTTTTGAGTGTATCATTTTCTGGCAAATCTCGTGTAAGACCTAAAAAGAAGTAAACATAGAATTTCATTACATTTATTCGTATGAGTTGTAGAAGTAATTCTTGGTACTCACTTGCACATATCCTTTAATTCGGCAGTGGTCTTTTGGTGGTCCGTGTATATCTGAACATACAATACAATGTCTTCTTGGAAAGACATCTGAAATGAGAAAAAAAACATAAATGCCCCTAAGAGGGACGAACTTACAAACAGGGACCCGGTTATATTAATAAAATAATATATGGTTATAACTAAGATCTAATTAACAATAATACGATAAATACCTCTACATATGCATACCCTCCTGGCAGTTATTTGGAAGTCCTGGTGCTTTGTGGTGGAAAAAGAAATTCATTCCGTAACCCTGAAATAAAAAGTGGTTTAAAAATATAAAGAAAAAAGATTTATACATATTACTTAGCAGTATGCCAATAATTTTCTCCTATGGGTTGTGGAAGTAGTTCTTGGTACTCACATGTCTTTCTATTCTGTAGAGGTTTTTTGGTAGTACCTAGCTGTATGCTTGGTAAGCAAGTTATCTGAAATGAGAGAAAAAAACACAAGTGCCCCTAAAGATAGGGACAAACATACAAACGGGGCCCCGGTAACAAAAATAAAAATATTATAGACTTATATCTAACTAAGGTCTAATTACTTGATATTAACTTATGAATGCGAGGAAACCTGTCCATATCCATATTGAGGTAAAGTGAAACGGTTAAGGGTACTCTTGTTAGAGTGTAATGATTGTTATTTGGTATGTTTAGCATCTCACTCCCCAATATGAAGAGTTTACCTTAGCGCCCTAATTCGACTTAACAAAACCTGCAGTTACCAGTGGAGATTTTAACTAACTACACGATTAAAACAGAATCTACTTATTAACTTATTGATTGTTACCGAGTTATATTTACAGATCCGAGAGCTTGACTGCACTTATGTCTAGTGATGCCTGAAGCCTAAATTCGAATGTACTAACGATTGGGCAATCATAAAGCTAAAAACTATTAAAAATGTATAGAACGCCGTAATTACGAAGCGGAAAGCTTAAAATCGGAAAACTCGATCGGATTTTTCTAGATCGTATTCTTTTTCCCTGGTACAACATACCATCACAATGCACTAACTAAGCGAGGGCTTGGTGCTACGTACTGGATTGACCACCTAAGATGACTGATACTAAAAAATGATCGCGACTCATACGATAGGAACCTTATAGGCAGGTAGGGATTTAGTTTGCACTAAGAGTTGTGCAACTCCTTGGAAACGATGTATGTTGGCTTTATAGAACGCAAACACTTGCGACTCTGGACCACATACGAGAGGAACTATATAGGCGGGCGGCGGATGTAGTTTGCACTAAAGGTTGTGCAACCCTTTGGAAACATTGCATGTTGTCGTTACAAAGTCGCAATCACTTTTTAATTATCAGTCCTCTGAAGTAGTCAATCGAGTCAGTAGGACGCAAGCCTCCGGGCAGTTAGTGCATAAAAAAGTGGTGCGTGTGTTGTTCCATGAGCAAAGGGCACACAATCCAGAAAAAATGAGAGTTCTCCGATTGTAAGCGATTCCCTTTGTCATCACGCCGTATCGTACACATCTATAATTTTAAGCTTTATGACTAACCAAAACAAAAGTATATCAGAATTTAGACTTAAGACATGACTACAAAAATACAGTTATATCTTCGCACCTACGAAAACAACTAGATAACATTATATAAGTTAATAAGTATAGATTCTGTTTCATTCGTGTAGTTAGTTACGCACTCTACAGATAATTACCGTTTTTTATTAAAAGTCAGATTGGGGCGCTAAAGTAAACCCTGTATATTGGAAAATGCAATGCTAAACAGTACCAAATAGCAGTCATTGCACCCCAAAAAAGGGTACCCTCAACCCTTTCAATCCACCACAATCTCCTGGCGGTCACCTGGCAGTCCTGGTGCTTACACCGGAAAGAAATTAACTCTGCAACCCTGAAATGAAAAGTGACCTAAAAAAATGAAATAGACAAAGACTTATAAATACTATGTAGCAGCCTGCACGTTTCATTCGGTACACATCTTCTCCTGTTCGTTTTTGTAGTATTCAACCTCCTGGTATCTGTAGTTGATGGCCATTTACACTAAAATAAATGTGTAAATCTTGTTATTTTTTTACATAATTTAGCGTTTTGAATCATCATACCTTTTTTTTAACTTCAAACAGTACGTTTTCAATATTTCTCTCCCTTTAAGAGATTTATTGTGCAATCACAAAAAAATTAAATTTAATTAAAATATGTTCATTGCATTATAGCCGAAAAATCATTCAAAATAAAAACAAGTAATTTATTAAACAAAGTTTTTAGATTTTTAGACGAGTTATTCACATCCATGCTACTAATAAAATAATTCCAAAAAACTAAACATTGTACACTATACGTACATATAACACTAATTATAAATTAAAGTGTATGGGGTTGCGTTGCTTCTGGGAAAAACATCGCAAGAATCCATACACCGAATGAAAAAAATTAATATATCAAATTAATTTATTAACGAAACGCGAATTACTTGAACCTGCCGTGGGGGGTAGGCGACAAGAACACATTTAAACGCGGAAATCTTAAACAATATTAAAATTACGAATAAGTCCTCGCACGAACAAAAAAAATAATTAAAATGTGGACGCAAATAACTCAAAATTATAATTTAAAAAAAATAATTAAAAAATAATTAAAAATTGTAAATATGATTGAATAAAAAAATTCATGCACAATAAATCCCCAAAGCAATCCGCCACTGCGCAAAACACTGTATGAAATCTGAAACAAGAAAATAAACAAAACAAATGTAGTCAATTGTAAATATATGAAACATAAGATTTATATTAAAATTTTTATGTTGACAGAGTACTACTGAATTTATTATTAACCACACGACAAAGTATACTTTACAATCCAAAGATAATTATTATTTATGTTAACTCAAAGGCTAAAATTAAATATTTTCACAACAATAAACACTGAGGCGACTCTTCAGCACAAACATATTGAATTAGAAAATGTAATGTAAATCGTTTAATATAAAATAAACGAATATATACTTCAATTTATTTACATTCTTCAACACAAAATCAAATCAAATCAAATCAATCAAAATACAAATTCCATGACACACATGTATTTCAAACTGAATGCACGAAATCATTACATAATATATAAATATTTTTAAAAGACTTACCACTGTAGTGTACACCAAGCGAGCTCCAAATCCAGAATGATTTTAGTTGTTATTACGCACCTTTTATATTGGGGTCAGAAAGGGACAAAACTATGAATTGTTACCAGATGATACTAAAATTCAAAAATTGTTATCTAATTGAATTGTTTCGGGTTCAGAACCATAGAGGGTTCAATACGAAAAGTTTGTACTTCACAATCAGTCACAATTCAATCTTCGTGGCGAGACGGTCGAAATTATTACATATTTGCATCTAATTCTGTTTGATTCATATATTTGTTTTGATTGTGAAGTATTATTTGTATTAACTATGTTTTTATTTGTATTTGCGTCTTATTAATTTGTGCGTTTTTATATATAATTATAAAATAAAATTAAAAGTATTTTGGTTATATATAATATATATTATTAACAAAATTTTAAAATTAGTATTATTAGGCCGATTACTTTCACGATAATTTATGGCTTCTCAAGCTATGATATTTGGCAGATATTTTTGATAAAATCAATGATATGAATTTATCAATGCAGGGAGTCTGCGTTAATATGTTTAAGTTAAAAAATAAACTTGAGGCCTTTGTTAAAATAATTCTTATCTCGAACTGTTTCCATTTACTGACGAGTATATAATTAGTAACAATATTTCACAAAATATATTCTTATAACAAAAATTATAGTTAATCATTTGAAGGATATGGAGTTTACATGCATAGGTATTTTCTCAAGGACATCTATACACAACAATGGATTTGCAATCCATTTTCAATTGAAATGGAAGAAATTAATTTTTTGAAGTTAAAAGCACAAGAAGAATTTGCCGAATTAACAAGTGATACTATTTATTATTTGCACGTTTGTTTTGTTCGATTTATTTTTATGAGGTATATGAATCTTACGGGGTATTCTTGTGTAGCAATTTAAACAAATAGTTCTTGTTGAACTTCCCATGAGTAAGTTATTGTAATCGTCCAAAAATCGAAATTGAAAATTTTTGAATTTCTCGACGTTTTGAGGGTTTCTGAACATGTTGGCATACCTCAGAAAAAATGGATGTGTGTTGTGTTTGTCCGCACTTTTTCGTTCACGTTTTCGGGCGCACGGATCAGAGCTATATGTACAAAAAATGGCAGTTTTTGTGAGAAATTAGCATCGGAATTGTGTTGACAAAACAATTGCTCTTGGAAAAAAAAATCATTTCAATGATAATTATACATTTTTATTTCTGGCTAAAATTTTAATGCTCACTTGTATCTCACAAACTCGATTTCTATTTTCTGCACTCTTTGCTTCGTATCTCTGTAAGGCTGGAAATGCCTTTGCCAAAAACTAATCAGCACGTGTTCGGGGAATTTAATTATTAAATTGAACACATATTTCATCAGTCAATAAGTGCATAGAGTTTATATATCTGTATATTGAACTATTGAATTGAATTTGTAGTTGAAATGCAAACTTATATAGATCAATTATATATTATAATGTTTATTTACAAATTATAAGTATATATCCACAAACATATGCCTTAATTTACAGTACTATGCTAAGACCAGAACTATATTGTTTCTGAAGTTGAAAATAATTAGAAATTTTATTATTGTTTAAAACCTAGAAAATATATTATCTTGAATAAATGATTTATTCTTCATATTATATATATATATATATATATATATATATATATGTAAATTCCCTATTTCACTGGTAAACCAAGCATCACATTTACTTACTTAGTTATATACATTGTAACATATTATGTTTATTACAAAAATCAAATCATATACAAAATATAATATAGAAGTATCATCTACTTTTCTGATAAAACATATTTAATAATTCTAATACAAAATAAATTAATATAAATGTCTAATACATATATGTATACCACACACACATATATATATATATATATTTATATATATATATACATGTATATATTTTACAATAATATTCGAAATGGGCTCTAATAGCAGGTTTTACATATGTTAAAAATAATCCATTCAATTTCACATACACAACATTCATAAACATACACACACACAAATATATATATATACATATATATATATATATATATATATATATATATATATGATTTAGAAATTAATTTTGTTGTTGAGATAAATGAGTAAGTTCTTTTAAGGCAGTACATCAGAGAAAAAAAACAAGGATTTATAAATTAATATTTAATTTCAAACGTTTCGTCATACAATTTGATGTGATCATCAGTGGACCATTCCTTTTAAAAATTAATTTATAAAATTCTTGTTTTCTTTCTTTGATGTATCGCTCTAAAAGAACTTATTATGGTTTATAAGACCATAATAAATGGCCATCATAGAATCACGAGATTAATAGTATAATAATAACGATTTAAATAAAATTAGAGGTGAAATGGCAATAAAATAAGAAAATTTTTAACTTTCAATGGCATATTTCTCTAAATTGTTCAACAAAACATTTATGCACTCAACTGTGTCAATTTAAGGCATTACAAAAGTGACTATTTTTTATGAAAATTCAACGTGTACGACATGAAATAGTTTTGCTAGAAGCACATACTTAATCAAAGTAATTTATAAAAATATTTGTTATAAATAACAATAACTTATAAAATTATTTTTTAAACTTAATTAATTCTTAATGAAAATTTAAATTTCTGTGAAAATTCAATAGTCTATATTCTAACTTGAGGTTTACATGAAGTCAACAGAAAAATGTTCCGATTTCATTTAAAATACTATACCTTTTATGACTAGCTGAAATATTTCTAGCTCTATTCGTAATATGGTAACTTATTAATAGAAGATACTATAATTAACAACATATGTACTTCAGTTTAGAGATACTTTTGAGATACTAGCAAACAATATTAATCTGTATGTCACTTACTTTAAATATGATAATTATTAATGAATTTGTGAGTCAGTGAATTAACTGTGACTACAGAGGTGTAATAATTTGCAGGTATTTATATTTGCTAAGACAATTAATTAGTTAAATAATTCAGCAGGCACATTAACTTACGTGGTAAGAGTTTTAAAGTTAGACACTACGACTCTGGAAATGCGGCAATAGGAATGTATATAATTGCACCCATAAAAGGCATTTGTTGCATGATTTGTACATTGGTGACAAATTTATAGTTAAATATAGTTAAGACACATATTTAAGACACTCTATATTTTATTAAGATCTAGTTATATATTATAAGTTAAGCACACGCATACAATCACTAATATTTCTAATAGAAATTTTCTGTAAGCACATCTAAATTTATAATACACACGCACACACACACGCATAAATATATATATATATATATATATATATAATTATATATTCATATTATATGCTTTTGCTTTATATGCATATAAATGCATACCAATGACGTATTTCTATACTATTTGCAAAATTATGGCGGAGGAAAAAAATATGGTGCTAAATAAGTCTGATGTACATAGTATTGAAATGGAAAAAAGTTAAACACATCTAAACAAATTCTCATGCGTTATGCAAATACTTTTGATAAATAGTTATGTTCTACTGTTTATACTTGTTGAATGAATTTCAAGATTTTTTTGAATGAAAGTATTGCATCAGGGTCTTATCTATATATATATATATATATAATATATATATATATATATATATATATAAATAAGTCGGGTTTTCCTTCCTGACGATATAACTCCGGAACGCACGAACCGATTTCGATTCAATTTTGCATTCGTTGGAAAGGTCTCGGGCTCCGCAAGGCTAAGAAAATCAGTGGTGCATGGCATCGTGCCATTTAGAAAATCATTGTTTTTCACATGGGCAGTTACACGTTGCCTGCTCACGAGTTGGAAAACCATCCGCTTTGTTTGTGTTAACGTCAGACCAAAAAACAAAAAATGTGGTTTACCAAAGAGCACTTCAATGAAACGGATAATTCTTCCATTTACTTAGAGAAGTTAAACTAAAAAACACTCCATTTTTGTAATCTAAATAAATTAATTACTGTTGTGCAATAAAATCATTTTTTTTCTTTTCAAATATAAAACAAACAAAAAATTTCTTCATCTTTCTCACTTAACCATCTGGTTGCGAAAAAAGGAGTTCGTCGGGTTTGCTAGTTTTATATATAAAAAAATAAATTATTGAATTGCACTTATCAGCTTCTGTATACAAGACTATTCTTAAAATCTTAATAGGGCACTTTAGTTTACTGCAGGCAACAAGCTTTGAATTTTTTAATACTTTTTAGCTTTGCAAATAGTATACTTCAATTTATTCTTATTGACATGATTATTTTTTGCATATATACTTCACGCAGTGATTTTAATGTGTCTAATATATTTTAAACATATATATTATGTACTATTATTTTTAATCAATAATAGCATTGATTTTAAGTACGGATCTTTAAATCTAATACGAAATACAACTAGAAACAACACGTCCTTCATAGAATCAAAATTACCAAGAGGGCGTCGTTTCGCTCAATTCCAGATCTTCTTAGATATTTTATTTATTTTTAGGTAGATGTCTTTTCATGTGCAGAGCCAAGTGGTCCGATCGGGCGAAACTGCGTTCGCAGACTCCGCACTTGAACGGCTTAGCGCCCGTGTGCTTTCGGTAATGACGGGTGAGTTCGTCGGAGCGGGCAAACCGCCACTCGCAGTCCGGCCACTGGCAGGTGTACGGCTTCTCACCTGCAATGCAATATTTACGTTAAATTTAACACTTTCCACTCGCGAATTTCGAGATTTATATGAATTTTCGGAGTCAAAAGGATTAATATTATATTAGTGGCGCATGGCATAGTGCCTTCAGGCAAATTGCTGGTACTTTCCGTACTAAAAATTAAATTTTTGAAAAGGATTTTTTTAAACTTTGGAAAAATTAGATTTTTGAGAAATTTTAAGTTTTTGAAAAAAAATGTTTGAAAAAAAAATTTGGAATAAATTGTTTATATATGAAATGTTTATATGAAATATTTTGAAAATTTTGAACTTTTTTTCGAATCAATCGCACTACTTTAGCTGCATACGGACAAAATATCGAAGCGCGTAAGCGCCGCGTCGCCGTTTAACGGACAAACGACGTTACGAAACCCGTAGAGATCGTAAAGAAAATTGATAAACATTTTTAATCTTCATAAAATATCATAAATTTGATGTGCATATGTCTAATGATCATTTTTGACCGCTAAATGGCATTTTTTAACTTCCCGTAGAGTAGTTATAGTAATGAGCCGAAAATCGAAAATGAAAATTTTTGCATTTTTCGACGTTTTAAAGGTTTCTGAACATTTTGGCATACATCAGAAAAAATAGATGTGTGTGTGTGTTTTGTATGTCTGCATTTTGTCGTCCACGTCCGATTCCTATTAATAGGGAGATGTGCTGATTAGTTTTTGGCAAAAGCAGGTCCAGCCGTTACGGAGATATGGAGCAAAGAGTGCAGAAAATGGAAATCGAATTTTTGAGAGAACGGATCATCCGATTTGTATGTTTCAAAAAGCATTCAGTAATGATGGGGAAAAGTGGATATTAGTTTTTGGTAAAGGTAACCCCAGCAGTTTCGGAGATACAGAGCTAAATGTTAAACAAATGGTAGTGTTTGAGAGAACTAAGCGGCCCATTTAAATGATTCAAAGAACTTTCTGCTAGTTTCAACAAAATAATTGCTTTTGGAAAAAAAATTTTGTTTCTCATTTTTTTTTCAAAAAATATTTTTTTTGTAATTTTGGATTAAAAATTCAAAAAATGACCACTCTGGTATGAATGTTTACCCAAGTGCGTTTAGACTGTTTATGTACTGCAGCCATTGTTAAATTTTGTGAAAACTGTTGAATGAAAATGTGAAAATGCCGCCAAGCTAAGCACAGTTTAAGTGAAAATGTAATGTACATAATTATTTGCAAATGCGTTTAGACTGTGACTATAAGGGAGAGTTCAATTTTGTGTAAATTAGGCAACTATTTTTTTTTTTGGAAATTGAATTCAAAATGAAACTATGATTGTTAATGTTCTGGAGATAAATTGATTTTTGATTTACATTTGATGTGCTCAGATATAACAAGATAGCAAGAATAATGAAAGTTACAGTATTTGTAATAATATATTTGAAAACATTTAATTAAATTCTATAATTTAATAAATTTAAATGTTTAAAATTTCTCGAATATTTCATTACAGTACGGGAAGTTTCAGCAATTTGCCTTAAGGCACGATCAAATTTTATTTTTTATTAACAGGATTTTTGATAAAATACTATAAATAGGTTTGCAAACGATTTAAATAGTCCTATTATTAAGTCAAATCTGATCTACATTAATGAATCAATCATTCGATTCCAAGTTGATAAAGACATTAACTTCTTCATACAATTATTAATATTTCTTTGCAGATATTAACCTACTCTAAACATTACCATTGAATATGTCATTTGTCTATAACGTACTCTCAAGTCTCAACTGATTGAATTAAAATTAAATAAATCTTCTATCTGAATAATATGTATCAAAAATTTATAATACTTTATCTCTGATTGTTGCAATATATTATTATGTGTTGTCGTATTCAAATCATTTGATAACAGCTAAACAATGGATCATTTATTAGTATAATGGCTCGGTGTAAGTGAATGTTGCAAGTTATTTGATTTAATAATGCCATGCAATCAATAATTGTCTTATGTCTTCATATTGCGACGTCTATAGACAATGACTATACCAAATGATGAATGATCGGTAATCTACACTGCAATTAAACATTTTCAGTTTGTAGGAAAAGCAATCAAAGTGAAAAATTACTGGTATGTGTTCAGAATAAACCGAAATGAACTTAAGTTGAATCATAAATTTTCTGTAATTATTTATTATTATATTGTACCCAAACATTACTATAGATGTGATATTCCTAGCTCGATCGTGATCAGAAAAATACCACGAATATAGTAAATTGTTAGGTAGTCTTATATGTACTAAATTTTCTGAATACTTACTCGTACTTACAAAATATTAATATTACAATCTCATTTATATGAAGTTTTAGTATATGTAAGTAATATAATCAGATAAAAGTATTAGTTTAATATAAAGCAAAATGTTCGTCAAAACTATGCATATTGCACAATGTCAATATGAACTATATCATTCTTCGACCAATCTTTACCAAAAACAAACCAGTACAATTCCCTACTACTTAATCTCTTTCGAACAGTTTTTTAAAATCGGTTCAGAATTGTTTGCTAAAATGTGGACAAAAAATGTTAATGATAAAGATACGGCTAGACCCATAATTGTACATCAATTATTTAAATAAGCAATTATCATAGTTTCTGTTGAAAAATTTATTAACATGAATTATTTTTTATTAAAATTTTTCCTGTTTTAAGTCTGTTAAAAGTGTTTATGATTCTATGACCTCACAAATCCTACAATAAATCCAATGTTACACTGAGTCGTACTTTGATTTAATATTGAAGTTAAATGAGGTATTATTATCTGTTTAGTATGGCGATTCGTTATATTGAAATATATTACTTATAAACCGCAATCTCTCGTACATAACTTGTTGTAAATCATAGAGAAGTCATATTTTATACTCTGTCTTCTTAAATCGTTGTAGAAACTCGGAGTTTCAGATAAAAGGTCAGCAGGACTAAAAAGTTGTGATGCAAATGGTAGAAAAATTCTTAGGACGATTAACTTGATTAATTACAATAGAAAAATTATTTGGATCAAAATTAATTTCACTTATTTAAAAAATCAATCAATTTCTATTCATTCCGCATGATTAACATACATTTATATATGATATATGATCTGCGGCTTATAGACTTCCTAACAAATACACGCTCAGCACTCTCGCTTGTTCGCTAATTTTGATCAATAAAAATCTTTGATTCAAAAATGAAAATATGATTATAAAATAGATTAATAAATGCATCTATATCTATCTTTGCATATGTATCAGTGTACAGAGACAACTTGGAACCTACAAGTATAAGGATTATTATAATAAACTATGATTATATCGCATTGTGATGTTGTCAGAGACGCCTTTAACGTTTTAACCTGTGCTCGAGGCGACGTATCATATGGAAAATTCTTTGTTATTTTTGTTTTAAAAATTTTCTAAGTAGACCAATCGACTAATCGATCTTATTAAAATTTAATTTGTTTTACTAATATATAGCTAAAACGTTATAACATAAATAAATCCCAACTTAAACAATTCTCAATTTGCAACAACAATAGATTTTTATTTTTAAGATTACAGGACTACATTATATTATGAATAATGAGAATATAGTTATTCTCGTGTTCATAAATAAACTCAAAAGTCGATAAAGTTTAAATTATTATATAAACAATAACAAATTCATTTTTTTATATCATATTATGTAAACTAAAGACTTCCAAATGTAGATTCATCGGGAGCTCTTATTCGCATAAAAAGATACAACACAAGCAATACCATCGCTGAGCGGCGGCGGCTCCTTTTATGTTAACTATTCGGTATTCGACATAATAGTAAGTTTGGCCGAATATCAAAAAAGTGCCGAATATGCCGAATATCAAATAGTGACCGAACATTCCGTGCAAGCCTGGTTAAAATTCATCACAAATATATCACAACATAAAATCAACTTGAATAAAACAATTACCAAATGTACCAAAATAAAACAATTACCAATTACAAGACAATTACTTACTACGTCTTCATATTATAACAAGGAGAATATAATTCAATGATAAGTTGGAATTAGTAAACGTCAAACAGCACCAAGAACGAATAAATGCATTATTTTAGTTATAATGTTTATTAAAAACCAATATCAAAATGCATTGAACAAATATAAAAATTTATACTGTTTGCTTGATATCGGGTAAAGACCATTCAATCCATCGTTTACCAGCGCCCTGTCTAATCGTGTAGGTATATATTTGCGCGATCCATTGTATATGAAATTGTTTATTTTCATTTATTGCGTCGTGTGCATATATATTTAACCTCTGGAATGATTTTATATTTTATAGACCTCAACGTCCCTCAGACGAAAGACGAAATCCTTTTGTTTCGTTCGCTTCAGTTCATGGGCCACGCGTGCCGTCCCATTGTCTCTGCATCATTAGGGAAATGTTTATAATGTCTTCAATGAACACGTATACATATGTACAGTGGTGTTGTCGAGCCGGAACGCGCCGGAACGTCGTTCTGGAAAATCATTTTTGGGAAAGAACGCGTTCCGGCAAGAAAAAATATAAAAAATCGCTACATACAGAAAATGATTTAATAAGTAAATTTTATAAATTATTATTCAACTAATTTTTATTAAATGTTCTTATTATTGTAATAAACATACATATATGTGCACACAATGGGTTTTGTAATAATTTTTGTTTCTTTCCTTTTCGAACGGAACCGGAAGAAACATGAGAACCGGTTTTTGAAATGGTTTATGAACCAGTTTTTAAATTTAGCGTTTCGACAAAAAAATATTAGCACAACACCACTGGTTTTATCAGAGTCGTTTTTCATTTAGTTACAAATTGAGGTGTATGAACTGAAATATTAATTACAATACAGTAGTGTAATTCAAATTTCACATATGTTACTTTAAGACCGAAAAGTGTCTGATGCCCGATTATTTCGGAGATAAGTTGGACTTGTTTCGGACATAGCGGGCGTTAGTCGAATAAAATAAATAATTTAAGACATTCATATAATGGAAATTGATTGTAGCGAAAAAAGCAATTCTATAAATACAAAAGCATAAGAACTGCAAAAAAATTTAATATTTTAATAATTGGATGAATTTTTTGCCATCTAAGGCAAAAATATAGGCCGTTCGATCGCTTGTAAATTTTTACAATCCAACATTTATTGGTAATTTTTTTAATCATTGTTTTATTGACATTTATTTATTGGTAAATTAGTTGACAATTTATAGCAAAAGAGTTACCCTAATATTGCAATAGACTTATTGTCTAAATTTCGGCCTACAAATTGAGATTTGTATGCATATTCATAGAAAGTTTGATCTTTTAAAAATCTGATGAAGGTGCTGTGGGATTGATGATCACTCAATTATTGATAGTAGATTAAATTAACCTGGTAGTAGAATAAAAAATTGTACTCCTAGACTAGTAATTCCCAACGTGGGGCACACGCCCCACAGAAAAATCCATTTTTAAATTCAAAGGGGGGAGGCAAATTAAAAAATTACACGACTTTAACCCACTTGATTTGGAAGATTTGAATGTAATTTGTAAATACTGTTAAAAATTCGTTAAATATATTATGATCATTGTTTAGTTTAACTGAGCACAGGATGCATGTGCAAATCATATAATTTTTCCATATATATATATTTCCATAGCTTAGGTAAATAAGCATCCCTTTTTAGGTCTAATGCAAACTTTCTCAATATTACGGATTAAAGAAAAATTCCAAATTCTGTATGTATTAGTCTGTATATTTATAAATTGCCATCCCTTCCAGACAGCGGTATAATAATTTTTATATAATATTTTTAAATTTAGAATTTTTAATTCAGTAAGTTGCGAGATTAAGAACATCTTAAGAAAATCAGCTCGCACAAGTTACTCAAACATTTAATAAAATTTATAGCTCTATGTCTATTGTCGCACAGTGCACACAATCGTTTAAAATTAATAATTAATTTTCTATGAAGTGATAACGGCAAAGGCAGCAGTAAGGTGTAATCGATGGATTAACAGATATTTTGGATATTTTAGATATTTAATACCGAGATAAAAATTCTTATAGAAAAAATAATATTTATAAATTAAATCTTATATTCATTCGCATTTCTTATACGATAACACGTACATCATAGGTTCCTATTCGTGTATTTTTATAGCCTTACGTGTGCCTGCCTATACGTTGCATTCTATACTACACGCCTTACATCACATCTATACCATACGCTATATTTCATCACATACTCTCAAATCTCTACATTGTATACAGAATACACCTAACCTATATCTACTATATATCCTATTACCTATAATTTTCCTTACACGCTACATTAACCCTACCGGGAATCGATCCCGGATCCGCCGCGTGGCAGGCGACAACCTTAGCCACTAGACCACCGTAACACTACAATCATCCGTCTTTTTTCGCGTGTGGTCGCGCCACCATAGTATTAATTACCTAATTAATTAGAAAATGACCCGTGGAAACAACAATGCGTCCCATAATATATTATTAATGGGGGTACCCGATAGGGTAGTGGTTAAGGTGCGCGACCGCCACGCGGATGTCCCGGGTTCAATTCCCGGTATAGACAATAGATAGGTAGAGATAATACATAGGGCGTAAGGTAATATAGGTAAATATAACCTATATAATATAGGTAAATATATAAATTAGACAGTAATATTTATAAGAAGTAAAAAGTATGTAGGTATATAATAAGTTAATGACGGTATAGGTATCTCACGGTATGATTGATAATAGATATCTACAATAATATAGTATAGTAAGATAAGTAATAGGTTATCTTATAAAGTATTGTAATAAATCTTGTGAGTACTTTTATATCATAATAAATACCTGTAAGTATTAATAAATACAAATAATACCAAAAAATATAATTAATGTTATTAAAGAATATAAATATGTACTCGATGATTCCCTCATACTTCTACAATTTAATGTACAGACTAGCTGTATATAATAAAGTTAATTATGTAAGATATATTAGATTTGTGAGTTCTTATCGAAATATATGAATTTTTTTGAACCGGATTTTAAATTTTAGTGTTCCGGTAAAAAAAAATTAGCACAACACCACTGCATATGTATATACAAGAAAACACGAACACACACACACAATTTTCTAGGCAAATTATATGAAGGGTGACAAGGTCTCTACTATTTTATCTTTTACTTAATTTGTTTATATCAATTTAGTTTAGGCGATTTTAACTAAAACAAGTGGTGCAAATTTTTAAAAACACTTTGAAAAAATTAGATTTTTGAGAAATTTCTAAATTTTTGAAAAAATTTGTTCTTTTGAAAAATGTAATTTTTTGGAAAATTTTGAACATTTGTTTAAAGCAATCAAGCTACATAGCTGATTTAGAGTCAAAATATCAAAGCGCGTAAGCGCTGTGTAGTTGCCACACTTGTAAACATTGTACACAAAATTTGTAGTTATTATTATAATCTTTATAAAATATCTGATAATACGATGTACATATGTCTAATGATCATTTTTGACCGCCAAATGGCATTGTTCTTTACTGTTTTTTACTGTTTTTATTGGATCTCTTCGCAAAAATTTCACCAATTGTTCATTTTATCAATACAAGTAAAACGTTTTTTGAATTATTTAAATCGGACGCTCCGTTATCTCAAAAATCGAAATACCATTTTTGGCACATTTTGCCCTATATTTTCGAAATGGATAGACTTGCCTTGGCTAAAAACTAATCATCAGGTCTTCTTATCGAATGTTTTTTAAACAATTCAAATCGATTGATCCGTGTTCGCGAAATTTTCAACGAAACATTGTATACGGGAAGTAAATAAGACAAGTTTATGAAAAGAATTTGCACCACTAATTCAGGCATCAATCCAATTATTAAATAGAAATATTTTGACGGGGGTAAAATTTTAGCTCACATATACACATACTTTTTCTATTTTGGGAATCATACGATTAAGTTCAATGGGCAAAAAATATATAATTAGCATTACATTAATCCTTGGACAATGAACAAATCTGTACAAGAGAACCTTGATAAATTGACAAATTTTAAATTTGACCATATATTATAACTAACAATATAAGAGTTCTGTTATGAATATTGAAATATATATATCTTATATTGTAGCATTTTATAAGAACATACTTAATGAGTTAATGTATGAAATAGGAGAATATGTGATACGGATTAATATCGCAGATGCAAATCAAGATATTTTCGACAAAATTGATGATAAATTTTAAAAACTTTAGGAATCATGTGTTTGGCGAAACATAATAATTAACTTGGATAGCCCAAAAAGGTAATTTGAGTACAAATTACAAATTTGAAGATATTATAATGGTAAACATTTACGAATCATGTTTTTGACAAAATATATTAATAATAAAATTGTTTGCATACATTCCCTTTAACGTGATTATCGGCTGTCTATCCACCTACACAAGCCGCATTTACAATATTTTCTTATAAACAGGAAATATTTTGACAATTTGTGACACAACAAGTATGTTTTCCTCCAGTTTTCAATAATAAGCTAAGTCTTTTATTATAATCGTTTATAGTGTGCAGTACTTTAGTCATTACAAAGGTATGTGAATAAATTATTTATTCGCATATGCGTTTGTTTTGATGGACAGATTGTAAGACTTTATCTTATTCGAATCGACATCTCAATGATGTGCCAGGTTGTATTGATTTGCAATTATCACGCGAACACTGAACGCATTTTCAAATAGGTCAAATATGCTCTTGAGGTTTTTATAAATAAGTTGCAACATTTCAAAACGTCACTATCGGCATTGCCATTTCATCGATGGTTTTGAAGAAGTAAAGAGCAAATTAAATTATTTAAAAATCCACTCAATAATGTTAAAGCTCAAATTATATGATTTAGATCCGCTAATAAAATAAATAATGAGATCAACTTTCTAATCATCAATAACATATTATTGTGATTTTTGTTTATCTGCATTTTTAGGCTACTAACTTTTAATAAAATATAATGATCATCAACTACAAGAATTTAAACATTTTCACTCACCCGTATGTATCCTTTGATGAGCTTTCAGGTGCGAACTTTTAGTATAAACTTTTGTGCAGCCTGTAAAAAAATCAATATAAACATAAATTATCATTTGACGTATTTCACATTTGACTTCCTGATTCAAAGTTACAATATTAAAATGCTTAAAAGTTCTTCAAATGATTATTTAATTTTCAACTAGTTAATTATCTTCTACAACGGTTTTTTATTTGGATTTTTTTCTGAAGACAAAGCTAGCCGCGTTTCCTTAAAAGGTGCGTAACTCATGGCCACTACAGCATTTCATTTTATTAATAATTAAACAGATAAATAATAATAAAGGATTTATTGTTCAACTTGCAAAGAGAAAGTGTGATAGGCGCATAGGCGCAAAACGAGTGTTTATCAAACGCATAAAGCCGCAATTGTTAAATTAATTATCATTATTAATAATCATTTTATGGGGCCGTTAGTATCTTAAAATTTTAATTTCATCCGTAGAAAATTTTGTAATCAGTTTGGTTGCGCAAAACAAGACAAGAAATAAATTAAAAATAAAGAAAGATGTTATTAAAAAAAGTCTGAAAAATAAATAGAGAATATAAACTAATTGGAAATTTATATAACATAATGTAAACTGTCGGCTTAGAGAATATACTATATTCAATAATAATAAATCAATTACTCTGTACCTAAAAAATCACAATGATGAACCCTCCGTTTCTCCAATTCTGGGTTATTCCTTCTAGTGTATCTCGGTGTAGGAACAGTTTGTCCACCATTCCGTTGTTGATGTCCTGGATTAGTTTGTTGGTGACCTTGAGCCATGGATTGATTATGTTGATGACTCGTATTTTGTTGCAAAGGTCCTTGTGATGTGTGATGTCCGACAGGTACAGTTTGCCCTGTTGTTGCATTATGTTGATGACCTTGTGTTGTCATTTGGTGGTGATTATGTGATGATCCTTGATGGTGACTTGAGGTTTGCAAATGCCGATGCACGTGGGGATTGTGAAGGCGCATGTGCGCTGGTACGGGATAAGGCGGCGGTGGGGTCCTTCTCGGGGGCTAAAAAATCGAATCAAGGTGTTATTATAAAATGTAAAATGTTAACAACATAGTATTATCTCTATAATCATTGAAACAATAATCGAAAAAGTTCAAGTTAATACTTGTAAAGTATTTCCTGGGCTGCCAGGGTCGGAACTAGGCGGTGTGAGGGGCGAAGAATACATGAGCCGAGATACAGGACCTGCTGGATAAGGCGGACTATGTGTTCCATATTGTTTATTCGAGTAATTCTGAAAATATAACATTCCAAATAATCCTCTGATCATTAGAAACAATATATATATTCTTCACTTACTTGCAACAAAGGATTACAGAATATCTGCTGCTGTTGATGTGTTTGATGTTGCGAATGAGTATTCATTCCATGATAAGGTAACCCGCCCTGTGCTGCGTTTAAATCGTGCGTCGTTTGCAACGAATGCAAAGAGTGATTTTGCGTCTGATGATGTTCATTATTATTATTATTATGTGACTGAAGTAAGTGAGACACGTCGAGATGATGCAGTTGCGAATTCTTTTCAGTTTTTATTTCTAAAGGACTCAGTAAAGGACTAGGCAGCTGTCCGGAGTCGAGATCATCCAGTTCTTCCACCTGATGGAAATGAAAATTTAGAAAATTGTTAACCCTCCGTCGGTCGGATATTTTTTCACCTTCGAACGGTCAGAAAGGTCTGGCTGGACCGCCATTCATTTTACATGCATTTATATGGGATAAATAAGTTTTTGGTGTCTTATATATTAACGATTATTAGTGGTAAATATTTATAGTTTTGATTTTTTCTTTTTCTTACCGACTTTCGCATGTGTTGAGCTTGCTTATAATAAAAATATTACATATTATATTATGTAAAAAAAATCAAGAAATATAAAAAATCGTTGCTTTTTTGTGAATTTTTCTGTTTTATATCAATGAAAAACAATATTTATTCTTTCTCAGCGCGTTGAAATGAATGTGAAATTCAAATGAAAACGAAATGAGGTGCGTCGCCTTTGAAATGAGCTGTAAAACTCAAAGTGAAAATATAAGTTCACTACAGGTTTGCCAAAAAAAAATTTCGAACGCAGTACGGGTACTCCTCCGATTACTCATCCGATTTTTAGTGTTTGCGATTACCAATGAGTTTGGTAGGTTTTCATGGAACTTTCGTCATGAAAATACTAACATTCATGTTACAACACATAGCAAAGAATATATACAACGCAGTTTGAATAGAAAATACCATGAAAAAAGACAAAATACAGGTTTACATATATCAAAAAGCGTATATTTCATACAAAATGTACGGGTGGTCTAGACAGACCTTTCCGACAGTTCGAAGTATAAAAAAGTTAATATCCTTATAATTATCCTTCTGCACATTTTTTCGTCCTGATTTTTTTATTGATCGACAGCTAATGAAATGTTAGGAAAAGTCAAGAAATTTCAAGTCGATAGGATTACCAGAAGTATTTTTTTTTAATTGAAGTCGAAAAAAGTCTGGCCAGACCACGCCGACCGAAGGAGGGTTAATGAATACTTTTGTTTTGTAAACTATCGTATTTACCTTAACGTGGGCCACAGTGAGCATGTCAGCATTTTCAGGATCGATATTCTGTATGCTAGAAGCGATATCTTCCCAGAGAGGCGGTCGCATAAACGCATCGTTTCCGCCGGCCGAACAGTTCCCGGCCGCCGTGTTCGTCGCTTCATTCCCGTTCGAGTCGCTATAACCGGCGGGCGCGTAGCCGTGCAGCCGCTCGAAGTCGTGCTTGTAGGAATCGAGATCGTTCGTCTGAAATTATAAAAATAATAAATATCATTTAAAAAATTATCAACATAAAAGTAACACTATCAGAAGTAAGTTGTAAGAAGCATTTCTCCTTAAACTGCATGAACTTTTCGATATGTAATATACATAATCAACTTAATAAGAATTGAGATTCAACTAATTTGGTAAAAGGTTCATAATTAAATAATTGTCTCGTAATTAAAATTTTCGCTTTTACTAAAAAATAATCATTTTGATTTCCGAATAAAAAATTTCAAACATATGTAATTGTATAAATTAAATTAATTTGTTTAACACACGTCACTTCATCCATTTCATCTTATAAACATGTATTTTATTTAAGTCTGGACGTCAACTGCAATCAGTAGCTATTTACAGAACATAGAACCTACATATGCACGAAAGACATAAAGCATAGATTCTGATTAAAATCGTTTATCGCGCCAGGCGCAATTCCGAACTTTGGTGAATTTTTATAATTCAACCGCTAATCGTAGACCTAAATATAATTTTAATAATAATTTAATATGTCATTTCAGACTACAAAATACAAAAATCGTCTTTTTGTTAATATTTAAAGAAGAAACGGCTCCGCCGATTAACACCAAACACTAATCAAAGCGATTTCGAACAGTTATTGAATTTTTAAATTTGGTTCAAAGTTGTGGGATAAAAAGTGGACGAAAAATTTTACACCATTCCGTTAATTACAAAAAATGGCTTGGCCGATCGTTGCCCAAAACGTCGACGATAGGTCAAAATTTTATTGCCAAATTTGGTCTTATTGGGGAAGTCAACAAGAAATTACAAGTAAGAACATACAAAAACTATTATTATTAATTTATACTAAATTTGTCTCAGGTGCTATAGATTCAGCAGTAGTTTCCACCTTACCCCCGGTTCTTATACTTAATATAAAATCATATTGATTAAATATTCAATATTTATCATAGAAAATAGTTGTTGCAAGACTATTTTGTTATATTTTTGTATTTATCATTACGTGTATTTTATATATCATAAGTCACCACCAACAGTCGCTTTCTTACAACTGTAATATCTTGTTGTTAAACAACATTTGGAATCCTTTTCACACTATCATCTTATATAAAAAATAGACCATAGCATATTTGCAAAAATAGTATATCAAAAATAACTGTATGCTCCCAAGCGCTCTTCCAACCACATTCTGATGTTTGCAATTATTTCTTTATATTCTCTAGGTTAATAGATAACTTTAAATTATTCTTCTAAAATATCGGTAGCTAATGAAAGGCATTCTAGCTACAAATATACGATTCATCAGTCAAAACGTGCCGCAAGAACCAGTTTATTACTTTAGTAACATCACGCCCACGAGTTTCAAATTGCTTTGATAAAAGCCGCACAGCGTTAAATGAAATTGTAAATCGCATTTTCAAATCGTAAAACTAATATTTTTTTAATGAATCCTCAAAATATTCTCAAGTACATTGGGCTGGATTCTAAGCAATATTTCAAAACTAGGTATAAATTCAGCAAACAATGTTGTTTAACTCTATATGGGCCAGAGTTACTTTCAGGATCCAAATCACACTCCAAAGTTTTTTATATTTTACCAAATAATTATGACTTTTTCTATTTTCTAAGTATGAATTTTGATTCTATAACATTCTCAAGATAACCAATATTCGTGACCTTTGCTAGACTTCTCAACCTGAAGTAACATTTTCAAAAAACACAATACCAGAAAATTGGTTTAAACCGAATTTTGTGTTCCTCATTTGTATATTATATAGGTTTAAAACTACTGATTTTTAATTCCATTAATTTTTTTTTATGTAAAAAAACGCCCATGGAGAGTAAAATTGGTGAATTAATACTTGACCAATATGATAAAACATATAAATTTTATATGAATATTTATTAATTTCATTTTGAGTATTATGTCTCAAGAATATGTAGTTATCATGAAAAATATAAAATAAACTACTAAAACTATAGTACTTTAGAAATTATGATTTATCAAAATGTATATCATCGATCGTATGTAATAAATAAATACTTGTAAAATTTCTATAATGGCTAAAAGATGAATTTTACACGAAATTTGGATGCTTATTGTTTTTATGACAGAATTCTACGCATAGGTGATGATTGATTATTGTTTGAAAAGTGTTTCCATCACGTTCTCTATACTATTCAAATAAATATTTTTTATAATTTTATTTCTATTCTATTTTTTATATAAGATGATAGTGTGAAAAGGATTCCAAATGTTGTTTAACAACAACATATTACAGTTAAAAGAAAGCGACTGTTGGTGGTGATTTATGATATATAAAATATACGTAATGATAAATACAAAAATATAACAAAATATTCTTGTAACAACTATTTTCTATGATAAATATTGAATATTTAATCAATATGAATTTATAGTAAGTATATGTAAATTTTTGCTTGTTGAAACCAATTTAGGAATCGACATTTAGGAAAATTAATCGATGTAATGAATCAACAACGATTTGCAATTATGGTAAATTGTATATACATCTTTTTACACATGTAACTTGCCCATTAAATATATTGTGCAATCGACTCTTGTTTTATGATCGATTATGCAGTCGTATGAATTTCAATCTGCCAGAAGTAAATGTACCAATAACTTATTATGAGGTTTCTTCCATATATAAAATACATACACGTATACAAAAACGTGTTGAGATACTAATTTATTTATATTTTATTCCAAAACAAAATGCACCAAGTTTCCTAAAAGTCCTCTTGGCAGCTAACCCAAGCAAAATTTTGGTTTTATTCATTATTCAACAATTTAATAAAATGATATTTTCAATGATCTTACATATATGTCTGCCCTTAAACGTGTGTGTTACTCATATGTCACAGATATAATTCTAAACCATTTAAAAAAATGATTATAATCCATCTTAGAAACCGATTGTATGGAAATTATATTTATTATAACAAGCGGGTTATCTACATCTGAATATAACAAGTCATTCTTTTAACAAAATATGAATTCAATTTAATATCAACCACAACAATGGAGTGATATCGAGATTCTATCGCTGGGCTTATTGTTAAAATAAATCGGAAATTTCTCGGCAGGTGGAAAAAATAGAATAAATTATTATCATCGGATATAAGTATATTTTTTATTGAAATGTTGAGATACTTGAGAAATTTAAATTAACTAGGTTTTAGTGGCATTTAGATTTAAATCATAAGAATTGAAATTTAGTATATTTTCAAATTTTGACGATAGAATTTTGAAATTTTGACGCATCCTTATTCAAAATTTTAATAAATTTTGTAAAGAAAGAAAATTTTAATAAATTTTCTCGTAGATAGTACTTTAGTATGTTCATGAACTCTCACTATGCAAAGTTTTATTAAAATCGGCAAAAAAGTTTAACAATAAATTTCAAAGAAATGGCGCAGCCCACCTTTATCAAAAACTATAATTAGCACAATTTCGGATATGTTTCAAACAGTTTTTGAAAATTGCACTTTCGTGCAATTTACAAAACACCTATGAATTAGTTTTAAATTATATAAAAACAAATTATATAAAATTCAAAATTTTACATAAAAATATCAATAAAAATAATAAAAAAAAGTTTCAGGCGCCCAATTATTAAAATGCAAACTTGTACATGTTTGCTAAAAGTTTGAGTCGGGAAAGACAAATCAACATAAATCCTTATCGAGACCAAATTTAATTTAATTAACTTCCTCTAGGGTCAGTTATTGTAATCGTCCAAAAATCTAAATTGAAAACTTTTGCATTTCTTCACGAATGATTCATAAAACTTTCTGCTTGTATTGACGAAACGATTGCTTTTGGGAAAAGAATATTTTATTTTAATTTTAAAAATATTTTTTTTTTGATTTTGAAAATGATTCGGATTTTAATTTTAATTCTAGCTTAAGTTCTAAACCTCACTTATATATTTGAAACAAAAAAAATTTAACTTTGCAACTCAGTTTATTTCTTTCATTTTATATTCGACTGATTGAGTTTTGTTTAATTACTTCTCTGTAAAAATATAAAAGTTACAGTAATTATAATAATCAATTGAAAACATTTAATATTCCTCGAATTTCATCACGGTGGCCATACGCCACCATCAGTTTAATTTCAATTTGTTATTTAATTCAAATGTTTCAAATCAATCTAGCCATTTTTGAGAAAGCGCGGGCAAAGTTGATTAGTTCGAAGGTGAAACTATGGCTTACATACAGACATACATATATATTTTAAAATTTCGGCCTCAAACGATTTAAAATGACTTGAAACGCCAATAATACCTAAAATTGGCATATCGAGTTTTCTGGCAAAAAGATAAAGTCCTTCGTGTATTGACAAACATAAAATAGTTTTTTTTAAATCTGCACCTACTCCGTATGGAACATCATCAAATTTTTGGTAGTACCTAGAATGTCTAAGTCATGCCAACCCAGTGATTGGACGTCAAGATATGATGGAAATATTATGATTGCGCAAAAATATTATAATGTTACAATTTTATCATCCCACACAAACTAAATAACTAAAGACAGATCATAAATAACATAAAAGATTTTCGCAAGTAAACCATAAGCATGGTATCACAATAGAAAGTCGATGGCCGGGATATTTATTGTTAATTAAGTATTTTTTCTCGAAATGAAATTGCAAAATGATTTATAAGCGTGCAAAAGCTAGTCATGTTTCCTTTCCTAATAAGCCGAATGGTGGAGAGCCTATCTCGTAATGAGTAATATGTGATTCGTGCAATCAATTGTAAGGTAATGCATAATAATATATCACCTGCCCACGCGCCCGCACTCTCTCACAGATCGGAAATGTTAGACTTTTGCACAGGGATCCAATAAACGTGGGCTTGGATAAATATAAACAAACACAATACGATAGGGATCATTTATGTTGTTATTAACATGAAGTACATCGTTGGAAATCCATGGAAACACGACATTTTTAGCTCATTTTTGACCAG